AAGATTTCTTTTCAGTGGTTGTTATTTAATTACTTAAAAAATGGGCAGATCACGATCTCGTTCGTTATCTCGGAAAAAGTCGTCACGTCGCCGTTCATCATCTCGTTCAAAACATCCTGGGAAAAAAAGCCGGCATCATACACCCGAAAGAAAATCATCAAAATATCGGCATCGATCAGATAGTTCGTCCAACTCATCGACAAACCGCTACAAATCATCATCGAAATACAAAAGTAAACGACAAAAGAAGCGTGACTCACGATCTCCATCGTCGCATAGGAGCCGGCACAGACGGAGACGAACGAAATCTTCGGATTCATCAAGCCGTAGTAGCAGTTCAAGCAGCTCAAGTAGTAGCTCCACGAAACATACACACCGATCCTCATCGTCATCAGATAAACTGCATCGAAACAAACCATCCTCATCGTATGTCGACAGAATTCGTGCGATGCGTACGCCAACACCACCACCAGCAGCGAAGCTGAACTTTGATGCAGGCATGGAATTTTTGGACAAACGACAAGTTTCAGATGCTCTCGAGGAAATCAATGCCAATGATTTCCAACCGAAGACATTCAACTCGTCGGCAAACAACAAGAATGAAAAGTCAGACGCAGACATAATTAAGTTGAAGGGCGAGATCAAAGGCGCCAAAACTGATACAAATGACGATCCGCTGTTTCATCAAAAGGTAAACATGAATACATGTGAAGATTCAGCCTTATAAATTGAACACTAATGAGATAATCTCTTAATCGCTTTTGTAGCTCTTTCGCGACGATGACGAACGTATGAAGGAATGGGTTCACCGATTTTACACCTATCGACAGAAAATGTTTGGTGCAAATAACTGAGATTTAGATTAAGGAGGAGTTGAAATTTTACAAATTATAATATAAATTGTGTCATGACCAAGAAATTGTATGAATAAAAACAAACATTTGATTAAGAAGAGAATTCGCTTCAATTCAATTTTAATGAATGCATTTCAAAAATTCACCACATTCTCCTTTATCACTGCTCGGTTTGACAGCTGTCAAACGCTCAAAATGACACAAACATCGGAATTGTGTGTGATTTATTTGCATAATAAACGCCAACGAGATTGTTTTACTCCAAAAATTAGACGGCATAGCAAAATTGTTGTGGTTTTTCACATAATTTAGTTGCTTTCAAAGCATATCCCCGTTTAAATGGCAGTGAAAAACGTTTATTCTGTTTAAATATAAGTGAGTTCACTTGTTGATAAATATAGTGTAGATCCGCCCATAATAAGCAATCACAAAAAAGGTCACAAGTGATTGGCACAAGAACAGAAAATACATACAATGGCTGGAATCAAGTATTTACTGCAAAAAGAGGTGTTTGATGCGACCAATGAGCGAATTTTATCGGTTTGCAATGTTCAAAAATGGCACAAAAAGAAGCGAAACTCATATTTGTGTATTGTGCTAGAGGCGCGTTCAATTCCAACGCTTGTTCAAGTGAAGCAAAATGATAAGGGAGTCTATCGGAAGAAACGAATGTGGCAATTGAGCGAAATCAAAACGGTTGACGGGAAAAATGATTCAACCACTGAGCCAATCAACGAATTCGATTTGATTTGCGAGAAGAATTATAAATGGTTTGCGGCAAATTTGCATGAGCGCCAGAATTTCATAACCGTATTGTATCGCCAAATCCATAAGTATATCAGAGTGCCTGAAAATCGTGCAATTTTCGTGAATATTCCGCTAACATGGCTACAAGAACAATCGCCCGAGAAAGTGCAACAAACTGACAATTTGACGAATGGAGACACGCTTGATGACGGCGAAGTGAGCGATGAATTTGAAGATTTTCAAGCGCTCACAGAAAAGGAAGAGGTTGAGTTAAATAAATTGATTGCCAATTCCAATTTAGCCATTACCAATGCTGAGCAATTCATGGAAGACCTGAGTAAAAATCTGCAAGATTTAGACGGCGCAAATGTTCAAAGTGTGCTGGCTTCGGAGAAACAAGTAAATGCCCTGATGGAACAAATCGAAGCCGCCATCGATGAGGCAAATCGAGTCGAAGCGCGGTTTGATGAATACGATGAAATTTTGTGCCATGTGCGGGACACAATGGAAAAAATGGGCGAGAAAAATACGATGATTGAAGTGGCAAACAATAATAACATCAAACTCTTGAATGAACTAGAGAAATTGGTAACACAATTGGATCTGCCGTACGGACATCAAGTCGCGCTGACCGATACCGACTTAACAACACCACAAGGTTTGGCGGCTGCAATTGGCGCAGGGAAAGCACTACAAACAGCAATGAATTGTGACATCGACTCGGCACTTTTGCGATTGACAGCCGTTCAAGATCAACGTAAGCGTTTCGATAAATGGAAAGCCAAATTTTCGCAGACAATTACTCGTCATTTGAATAACATGTTTATTCATTTGGCCAATGATTTGGGTGAATTGAATGTGATTGCATCGTCGGTCAGCGCTGAATTGGTTCTAATGAAACACGGTGCCGTACATAAGGAACTCAGTGCCTACAGTGAACTTATGCATTGGCTCAAATCGATGGACCGAAAAGCGTATGATGGCCTAGCCAAGGTGTACACAAGTGCGATGAGCAAAGTGTATGAACGTGAGCTGAAAAACTTTTTTGATTTAGCCAAATCTTCCATATCACCACAACTGCTCAACGACAGCGAAATGAATACATCGATTTCAAGCAAATTCAAAAGTCCACAATCGAAACAAATATCACAACCGTACGGAATACTCGGTATTAGCAAAGAACAATGGTCAAATGGATTGGATGCGAGTGAATGGCAACGCTTCGAAACAATTATGGAGAAAGTGCTAACGGAATTGGAGCCGGTGGCTTTGAGTGAACAACACTTTTGCATTCAATTCTTTCAACTGGACGTTTTGAGCCCAACAACAAGGAACACTCAAACAACATTGGATGGAGTTATGAGCACTAGCATCGGTCCAATCGATGGAAACGATAAAGAAGGTAATGAGGCACATTTCGAATGAACCAAAAAATGAATAGTTTGATTGGGCAAGGAACATGTAATGAACGGATTGTCTTTTTTTTCTAGCTGTCGCTGCTACTATTGGACTGATTGCACCCCAGAAGAAAGTCGATCGACAAATTAACGAAGATGTTCGCCGAATGATGACTTCACTTTTCAATATTTTGGAATCAGAGCTGAATAGCTTTATCAATAGCTTTGAGAAATTGGATAGTTTGTGAGTGTTTTTTTTCTTTTTGTTTTTAGCCTTCAATTTTCAACAAATTTGTATACAAAATTGCAATGATCTATCTCTCTCTCTCTTCCTCTGTTTTCTTTCAGTTATTCCATGTATGTTTTAGTGCGTTTAACGCAGCACGTTATGTCCGCTCAGGATGCACACTCATTTCTGAGTATGACATTTGCATCGGCACTGGTGCAGGTGAAGCGAAACTTTGACAAATTCATGCATATACAGTTGCAGTCAATTATCGAGTCAAAGGTTCCACGTCGCTCGAAATGTGGTCTTTTGCCATATGTCGAGAACTTTGAGGAATTTTCCAATACAGCCGAATGTATCTTTCGTAAAACTGAGCGTCGCACCGACTTAGACAAATGGTACGTTCAATTGGTCAATGCAATTTTCGAACACATTCCACTTCATGCGAGTGAACACCCAAAAACACCCGATCAAGTGGTTCGAATGGAGAACTATCATCATATGCATTCATTGTTGGCTCATCTAAAAGTACCCGTTCTCGATGAACAGAAGAAAGTGGCTAAAACGAAGTATAACGAAGCTTTGCGTGCTTATGTAACGAAATACTTTGGACGGCCACTGGAGAAGTTGAATCTGTTTTTCGATGGTGTGCAACAGAAAGTGGGCCAAGGTGTTAAAGAGACTGAAATTAGCTATCAGATGGCATACTCAAAGCAAGAGCTGCGCAAAGTAATCAGCTTATATCCGGCACGTGAAGTGAAGAAAGGACTTGAGAGTCTCTACAAAAAAGTGGAAAAACATTTGTGCGAAGAGGAAAATCTATTGCAAGTCGTTTGGCGAGCGATGCAAGAGGAATTCATCGTGCAATACAAATATTTGGAAGAACAAATTCAACGTTGTTACGCCGGTTCGATGATTACACTCGATTTTACCATCGATGACATTCTGCATTTCTTCTCGGAAATCGCTCAATCGCATTAATTTCTGTTGCATATAATTACTTCATATCTTATTCGAATATTACTCGATATCGCAGAATTAATAATTGCTTGCTTTTAAAAATGCTGTCAAAAATTTAATTGTTTAATATTAGAATGGAAAATCGAGTCACGAAAACATTACGATGGTTTCAGTGTGTCCAAATCAAACTATTTACATGTGCTTATGTCAGCCTGTTCTATATTTATTAGCGTTCTCTTTAATAAAAATAACGATTAATTAAATGTTAATGTATGAACAGTGTTTTTGTCATGTTGGCCAATATATCACTTTGAAATGTTTTTCAAAAATTTGATCTTGAACCGTTGAACGGTCACAGGGATGAATGGTTGCTTGATTTTTGATTATTTTTCTAAAACGTACGAAAAGTATATTCCAATGTATCTCCAATTTACATGTTCCATAGTTTGTTGCTTTTAATGTATTATTTCTGATGCATAAGGATAAGTAAGCATACCGTTTTTACTTCAAAATACTTTTTATTCGTTCAATTGGTACAAAAGAATCTGTACAAATTTCGTGTCTTAATGTTAAAAGTGACGGTAGTGTCAACTTATGGTTGTTTATTTGTGTCCGGCGGTAACTTAAAATAAAATAAAGATTAGGTCATATGTCTTGGTCATGTATGTATGTATGATGTAGCTTGATGCCAATTTGCTTAATTTCGAATGGATAGAAACAAAAGTTGTATAGAAAAAATGAATAATGAAATGGTATGTAGAATAAAAATCGAAATTGAACTTTGTCGTTTAGTTGTTGTTTACACTGTCAGTGAACAAAGAAATGTATTGCAGCTTGACTTTAAGCAAACCGGGATTGACTTCGGCCCATCTATAAATAAAAGCAATGATTGTGGTGTGTATTGATGTCATTCTAAATGATTCGCAAGGTCAATGGCCAATGCCATTTCTGTCAATATCAACTTACGATAATTTTCGTTCCTTCAGACGACACTTGACCCGATGCTTGATTGTTGAGAACCCACCGGCGCTGTGTAAACCTCTTCCCGTTATGATGAATACGTATTTGAAACCACGTTTTGCATCTTTGAGCTCGTTGATGTGTCGATCAATGTAAATATCCTGTGGGAGAAAATGATATTTTGATTATTAATCTAAACAAATTTTCTATTAATTTAAATTAGAATACCAAGCATTCGATCGCTTCGTCCGCATGTAGATAATGCAAATCAAGCATATTTGGATCCTGTTGCGTGTAGGAATGTACTTCGACAATGGCATTTGCCGCTTTGTGATTGTACATATCGATTTTTGTGTTGTGCAAATTGGCCACCGTTGTATAATAATACGCAACTCCTGTTTGTTTGCGTTGGAATGCTTCTCGTGCCTTATTGTAACACTCAGCTTTCAGGTGAGAATGATGCATAGCCATGTTACGATTTTCCTCAAAATCGCGTAGAGCCGCCCGTTTGGCATCTTCCACATCTAGCTTGTTCAGCGTAGCAGCAACACCTTGGATCTTGTGCTTGTTAGGCTTTGAATGGGTTGGTTGCGTTGGTTGCACCTGAAAAAATAATGAGAAAATAGAATTTCCTTAGAACATTATTTAATCTCATAATAAATCAATTCATACCGTTTGCGCTTCAACGCGGACTTGTGTTGCCAGCTCTTGTCCTTTGGCTCGTATTTGCTCATCTATTTCTGACTTTAAGCTCTCTTTGAAGAATTCCACCGTCTTTGCAAACTGATTCCCATACGCGGTGAACACTTCAATTAGCTGCTCTCGGTCGACGTTAGGGAAAATTTCGTATAGCTTTGCTTTCGTGAGTTTCATTGCCAAGTCTTCGCGCGTCGTTTGTTTCCATTCATTTGCATTGCAATTGTATGCTTTCCAAGCGTATTCCATGTCAGCGATATTTTGAACATTCGAATTGGCCTGTGCAACTTCAAACAGATTTTGAGTTTGTGGCTGCTTCACTTGCAGTTCTTTGGCAAATTCTTCGTCGTCTTTGATTGACTGCTGCTTTTGCTCCTCGATTTGATGGTAAAGTGATTCAATAAAAGTTGCGTACAACTGTTGCCCGAGTGATTTTGACATAAACACTTTTGTTTTGATATCTTTCAAATTTTCACTTTGGAACGTGTTAGAACCGAATTGATTGTCCAATTGACAAACAAGCTCTATGCCTAGGTCGATTTCAATCATGTCATCATCTTCATTAATGTTATCGTCATCGTGCGGGCTCGAGCTGACGGATGCTTTAGCTGTCGATTGATTCGATGTAGTAGCAGTTGAGGTTGTCGCCATTGATGTGGATGGCGCACCGCGTCGGGAATCACGTATTTTTCGCGCATGGTCGGAATAATGGTTGTCGGAAATGACAAACTGTTGTTCAATATGTTTGAGCACATCATTTTCATTGGGTGCATGGTTTTGCTTTTGTCGTCGTTGATTTCGTCCCAATTGTGACGGCTGCTGTGCACGGCTATCTTTGAGCCATTCGACCGGGATGGCTTCAACTGCTTGCGAAAACTCAGCACTTAATGGCTCATCGCAGTCGCATGTAAAATTATCGCGGTCAATTTCTTC